AATAATACAAAAAAAAGTTTAAGTTTTTTAAATTTTTTTTATTAAAAAGTATTATTTTTTATTGGTTACTAAAAATATTACCAAAAAACATTGCAAAAACAAATACAAAAAAAAATATCAAAAATTGCCAAAGACATACTAGAGAATTCACCACACAACACCAAAGGTGTTTAAGAAAAACAAACACCAAAAAATTTATCACAGTTCCGAAAATACCTAAGAACAAACGCCAGAGAATTCACTATACAATGCCAAAGGTGTTCAAGAACAAACACCAGAGAATTCATCACAGTGCCGAAAGTGCCCAAGAACAAATGCCAGAGAATTCACCACACAATGCCAAAGATATTCAAGAACAAATACCAGAGAATTCATCAAAGTACCGAAAGTGCTAAAGAACAAACACCAGAAAATTCATCACATAACGCTGAAGGTGTTCAAGAACAAACACCAAAGAATTCATTATAGTGCCGAAAGTGCCCAAGGACAAATGCTGAAGAATTCACCATACTACACCGAAGATATTCAAGAACAAACACCAGAGAATTTATCAAAGTACCGAAAGCGCTCAAGAACAAACACCAGAGAATTCACCACATAACGCCGAAGGTGTTCAAGAACAAACACCAGAGAATTCATTACAGTGCTGAAAGTGCCCAAGGACAAATGCCAGAGAATTCACCACACAATGCCGAAAACAAACACCAGAGAATTCATCATAGCACCAAAAGTGCCAAAGGACAAATGCCAGAGAATTCACTACACAATACTGAAGGTGTCAAGAACAAACATCAGAGAATTTATCATAGTGCCCAAGGACAAATGCTGAAGAATTTACCACACAATGCCAAAAGTATTCAAGAACACCAGAGAATTCATCACAATGCCAGAAACAAATGCTGAAGAATTCACTACACAACGCTGAAGGTATTCAAGAACACCAGAGAATTCATCACAGTGCCAAGGACAAATGCTGAAGAATTCATCACACAACTTCGAAGGTATTCAAGAACACCAGAGAATTCATCATAGTGCCCGAGGACAAACTCCAAAGAATTTACCACACAACACTGAAGGTATTCAAGAACACCAGAGAATTTATCACAGTGCCCGAGAACAAACGCCAGAGAATTCACCACACAACGCCGAAGGTATTTAAGAACATCGGAGAATTCATCACAGTGCCCAAGAACAAATACCGAAGAGAATTTACCACACAATGCCAAAGGTGTTCAAGAACACCAGGACAAACATCAGAGAATTCACTACATGATGCCAAAGGTGTTCAAGAACAAACACCAGAGAATTCATCACAGTGCCAAAAGTGCCCAAGGACAAACGTCAGAGAATTTACCACAATGCTGAAGGTGTTCAAGAACAAATACCAGAGAATTCATCACAGTGCCAAAAGTGCCCAAGGACAAATGCTAGAGAATTCACCACACAATACAAGGTGTTCAAGAACAAACACCAGAGAATTCATCAAAATACTAAAAGTGCCCAAAAACAAACACTGGAGAATTCATCACATAATGCCGAAGGTGTTCAAAAACAAACACCAGAGAATTCATCATAGTGCCAAAAGTGCCCAAGGACAAATGCCAGAGAATTTACCACACAATACTGAAGGTTTTAAGAAAAACACCAGAGAATTCATAACACCAAAGATGCCCAAGAACAAATACCAGGCATAATACCGAAAGCATCCAAGAACAAATACCAGAGAATTTACCACACAATACCAAAATTGCCAAGGAGAATTTACCACATAATGCTAAAAGTGTTCAAGGACAAACACCCTACATAATACCGAAAGTGCCCAAGAACAAGCACCAGAAAATTCATCGCACAATGCCGGAGACAAGCACCAAAAAAAAAAGAATTCACTACACAACATCGAAAGTGTTCAAGAAAAATTCACCACACACCACCAAAAGTGTCTGAAAACACGTATCAAAGAATTCACCACATAATACTGAAAGTGTCCAAGGACATGCCCAGAGAATTCACTACACAATGTCAAAAGTGCACAAGGACAAGCACTAGAGAATTCACTACACAACGCTAAATGTGCCTAAGGACAAGCACCAGAGAGTTCACACACAATGCCAAATATGCCCAAGAACAATACCAGAAGGTTTACAACGCCAAGAACAAATACCAAAGATTTATATGCCGAAAAAATACCCAAGAACAAACACCAGAAGATCCACAATGCCGAATTGAGAATTTACCTTATATTGCCAGGAGAGTACAGAGACACACTATATAACATCAAAAGTTTCTAGAATAAACATACTGAAAAAGCTCAAAGAAACACTAAAGAAAGTACTAAAAATACCTGAGAATTCTAGAGAACATATTAAAAAAAAAGGTTACCTCTGTAGAAACACCGAAGAAACATCCTAAAAGAAAAGCAAAACATTAATAAAGCGAAAGAAAAAAATAAAAAAAAACAAGAAAGAGCTAGAGAAAGTCATCGCGAAAAAAAAAAAAAATCAAAAACAATGATTATCAAAGATGATCATTGTGCCAAAAAAGAACTTACCTATCTGGGCAGGGTAAGATCGTTTGATCTTACATCAGCAGTCTGATCAACCACATGAACCTTAGTCATGTGATTTTCACATTCTTTGATTGGCCAAAGAGGCCAGAGATATATAAGTTATATACCTCTGGCTAGAGATGCCTAGAAAAACCTATCTATTATAGATGACAAAATAGAAGAAGAAGAATAGATTGAATATTGGTTTGAAGAGAGGATTAAGTGACCAGAAAGAGTATGTTCATTAATATCAAGATATATATATATTTCAAGTGTAATAATTTTAACTGATATTTTGTAAGGTTGAAAGAAAGAATATTTAAACAAGTGATGAAGAAATGATTTGAAAGTTTGTAGAAGTGGAGGAAGTAGTAAATTGTATTTGTGAAGAAATTTGTTAAAGCATGTCTCCTCAGAAGGGTGGGATGACTTGGTATCTGAGAAGAAGATAAGATCTTCTACAAAATCGCTCACCATATACCCGACTCTCACAGCTATGCAAGAATCTAGAGTCTGCTCTGTGCATTGAGTCTAACCATCATTACTTAATTCTTCCATATAAATAGGCTTTCCTCCTGCCTATTTATATTATTCTTCTCTGAAAATGGCTTACATATAGTGAAGGACATTATAATCTCAGAGGTAGTAGCTGTTTTCTAAAAATTTAAAAACTTAACAAAATAATATGAATATATTCGAATTATAGCAGCATTTAGAAAGAAATAAAGCATTTACTCTACCTAATTCTGACAGTGATTCTTCTAGCTCAAAAAATAGTAAAAAATCTGAAAAATCTAGTTCAAAAGATTCGAAAATTTAAATATATTAATTATTATTATTATTATTTATTAACTTTATATTTAAAAAATTTAGAATAAGCGTAGCAAACTTAAAAAGCCTTTGAAGTATACTGAAAAAGTATGTATATATTAAAAATTTTTAATTATTTTGAAAAATCTAATATTAAATAAAT